CTGCCTTGGGCTATTAGTTAAAAATAATAAAGGGATACAAATAAAATAAAAATAAGTTATTCATTAGCAACGAGTAGACAGGACAGGACAGTACTGGTTAAGCCAACTGACAGCGCTGTGTGTACCAAACTGTGCTGAATTTTAGCATAGCACAAAACCATAATGTGTTTTATTTCGTGTATAGGTACTCCTCGACTTACACAATTGAGCACAAAAAGGACAGTTGTTAAGTAAGTTATGTCCCATTTTACGACCTTTCTTGCCATAGTTATTAAATGGATTACTGCAGTTGTTAAGTTAGTAACATATCTGTTAAGTGAATCTGGCTTCCCCATTGATTTTGCTTGTCACAATGTCACAAAAGGTGATCACATGACCCCGGGACACTGCAACCGTCATAAATATGAATCAGTTGCTAAGTGTCCCAATTTTGATCATGTGACCAGAAGGATGTGGCAACGGTTATGTGAAAAACGGTCATAAGTCACTTTATTCAGTGCCATTGTAACTTCAAACGGTCACTAAACGAATGGTTGTCAGTCAAAGGCTCCCTGTATTGTAACTCTTGCAATTAGAAACTACTTGCCAACTCATTATTGGACCACAGACTATGGTTAAACAAATCTTAGATTAGTGCAGATGTGATTTCAGAAGGTGCTGAGTCGGCCAAGTATTCTTGCTGAAATTGTTTTATCTGAAATACTGTTTTATTTGTATTGTGTCCCATCCCCCCTGAGTTTATATGACCCTGACATTGTTCGACTTTTGTGAAGTTGTAAAAACCTAGCAATGCAGTAATTTACTCCCTGAAGGGGCCTTGATGGTCTCTGCACTTAGTTGTTTTCTTGAAGACATTTCATTACCCAATTAGGTAACATCATCAGTACTAGTTTGTTACGTAGTTTGGATAATAAAACGTCTTCAAGAAAACAACCTAGCTCAGAGACCACCAAGAACCCCTCATTTCAACCCTGAACTACAAATACTCTCTTTTATTGGTAATTTATTCCCTGATAGTCTCTTCTGTTTATTAGAAGAGTTTCTGGGTTGGTCATCTTCCTTGTCCCCTGATGTGCTGGGGACATTACACATGTGCTGGGTTTACTCAAGTGTGCCTGTTGTTTAGAGTCATCTCGGTAATTAAGGCAGCAGAAAGACAAAGGTTGCATCTGAAGGTTTCTCGGTTGTCCTGCACTCCCCCAACCACCCCACCACCCCCCACACACTTGGGATTCAACAGAAACAGGAGAAGCCACAGGGAAGTTGCAGGAAAACTTTCTGAAATTCTTCTGTTCTTGGAAAGAAATTTTGAAATCCTTCCACTTTGGCATCACATTTTGACAGTCCTTCTCCTGAAACAGAATGAAGAAGCAGGTGACCTTGGGCCGATCATTCTCAGCCCAACCTACCTCACAGGGTTGTTGTGGGGAAAATAGGAGGAGAAAGGTGTGCTGGATATGTTATATCTAGCACACTCTCCTCCACCTTTGATGAGATTATTTGTAAAAATTATAAAGGCATGATACAAATAAATAAAATAGACCTGCCCATTTTTACTTAATTTGGTTATATCAGTGTTTTTCAAGCTTGGCAACTTGAAGATGTGTGGATTCCCCCTCCCAGAATTCCCCAGCCTGCATGAATTCTGGAAGTTGAAGTCCTCACATCTTCAAGTTGCCAAATTTGAAAATGGCTGGGTTATATCCTCCCTCCCTATCTGCATCTCCTGCCTGGTGATGATAGAAGATACGGATCTATTTAGAGGCTAGCACACCATGTGGGATTGGATAATTCCATCCTTCCTTAGCTGCTGCTTCTCAGAAATGATGCTTCTTGGGAAAAACAGGTTTTTCCAGTAAAATAAATTGTACCTTGTCATGACGAAGGAAGCAGAAGGCTTTGCATACTGATGGGGTAATGGAGAAACAGATAGTCCTTGCTGAACAAATGGTCACTCAGCATCTGTTCACAGTTGAGGTGGACCCCAAAAGCAACTTAAGACCTGGTTGTGGGGTTAGTGTGTGCACGCACACACACACACAAGATCACATGACCACATTTTGGACACTTGGCAACTGGTTCAACTTCACAGCCAGTTGAAGCATTCTGTGGTCATGTGACTGCAATTTACATGGATTCACTTAACAACCGCCGTATTCACTTACAGCCTCAGCATTCACTTAATGACTGCTGCAAAAAGTTCCTAAAATTGGATAGAGTCATGTGGGTGCCTCAATTTATGACTATCAAGACTATCAAGATGGAAGTTCCAAATTCCATTATCATTGTAAGTCAAGGACTACCTGTCTACACACTTTTTCGCATCACTGTGTGACAATTTCCAGGTGGGGTGATACTACAGTAACTAGGGGCCTATTGTGATATTGGCTGGGTGTTTAGGGTTTTGCAAAATCTGATTAGAATTAACCATTTTGAATTTGAGATTGCTTCTGAATTTCAATTTCGAAAATCAACCTAATTCAATTCAACTTTTGAATTGTAAACTTGAATGGATTTGATTCCCATTTCTGATTTGACAAAAAGAAATAAACCACCGAATTCCTGTGCCTGAACCATCCAAGAGATTGCTGGGTACCTGATTGGGCACCTGGAATCAACTAGCCATTCAATATGGAAAACTGATCCAGTTCAGAGTTTGCATCGTATTATCTTTAAATTTCTTTATGTATCCCTACTGAATATGATAAAAATAGAGTCAAAATCATTTAGAAAATGCTTGGGTGGAGATGTTTACCTTATTGCTGTTAAAAACACAAACACCTTAGAAAAATGCTGAAATGATCTCATCACACATCAGGTCCCAAACCAAGAATGACGTGGTGAATCTTCAAGCTGAGTTCTTTATTCTTTTCACACCTATAGACCAGATCTTGCAGACCAAGAACTCTAATCCTCTTCGGCAGGCCTGGGGCTGTTGATCTCGCTATGGTGATCTTGCGAGACCCGGCCACGAATTGGAGTGTATGGGTTTTAATGTTTTCTTTTAAACTTGTTTTATTCTTTGTTGTTAACTGCCCAAAGTCCCTCGGGAGTTGGGCAGCATAAAAATGCAATCAATCAATCAATCAATCAATCAATCAATAAACAAACAAATAAATAATATGTATCTAAAATATACTATGTAGACTATTAAAAAGAAACTATCTTCACCCTCTTTCTCTCATACAAGATCTCTGGGCTGAGTTGTCCCCTTTACTCCTCTGAACTCCTCCACTTCCTCCTAGGGATTTACCCTGTCAATAGATTCCATCCCACTATATTCTCTTGAGGACTCTTGTAACTATGTTGTCATCCTTATTTTGCAGTTAAGAACAGTAGCATGGTTGGCCTAAGACAACTTTCCCATCTAAAGTCCTCTAGATCAGGGGTGTCAAACTCGATTTCATTGAGGGCCGCATCAGGGTTGTGTTTGACCTCTGGGGGCCAGGGTGGGCATGGCCAGGGTGGGCGTGGTCAGCTCGACATCACTCATGTGGTGGCGCCTTAGGTGGCCCGAGCGGTCTACCAGCGAAAATGGGCTCCTGAGCTCCGTTTTCAGCTGCCATGGCTTCCTGCAACCCTCCGCATGCGACCCTCTTGAGCTCCATTTTCACTGGCAAAAGCACCGTGGACCGGTCCTTCACTGTTTCCAGGGCAGCCCTGCAGGCCAGATCTAGGTACCCCACGGGCCGGATTCAGCCCCCAGGCCTTGAGTTTGTCTCCCCTGGTCTAGATAGAACTTGGAGCGCCCAGAATCAGAATAACAGAATTGGAAGGTACCTTGGAGGACTTCTAGTCCAACCCTTGCTCAACACAAGGCCTTATTCCAGAGAACTGGTTGTCCAGTCTGTTCTTAAAAGCCTCCAGTGATGTAGTACCCACAAAGTCTGGAGGCAAATCATTCCACTGGTTAATTGTCCTCACTATTAGGAAATTTCTCCTTGGCTCTAAGTTGCTTCTCTCCTTGGTTAGTTTCCATACATTGCTTCTTGTCCTGCCTTCAGGTGTTTGAAGATTAGGTTGAACCCCTCTGCTTCGTGGCAGGCCCTCAAAAATTGCATCACTGCTATCATGTTGCCCCTAGCCTAGTCATTCTTTTCACTAGACTAGACACACCCAATTCCTGCAACCCTTGTTCATATGTTTTAGCCTCCATCCCCCGAAAATGATTAACCTTTGTTGCTCATCTCTGCACTCTTTCCAGAGTCTCAACATCTTTCCATAATCTTTCCAGAGTCTCAACATCTTTTTTATATTGTGGCAACCAAAACTGCATACAATATTCTAAGTGTAGTCTTACCAAGTTTTTATAAAGAAGTACTAATACTTCACGTAATGTGATTCTACCCCTCTGTTAGTCCAACCTAGGATTACATGGGCTTTTTTGGCTGCTGCTGCACACTGCTGGCTCCTATTTAAGTGATTTTTCCATAAGATCCCTTCTACAGTTACTGTTGTTAAGCCAAGTTTCACTTAACCTGTACTTATATCTCTCAGCCAGAGGGTTGCGTTCTTCTTTTTACACCCATCTGTTTTGAAATCCTTCTACAAGAGCACCCACCCAAAGCCAACTCAGTTGGCTGAGCTGTCCATTGTTGGACCGAAAGCTGTCAGTGGCTTAATTGTGCTTTTTGTTCAATGAGAAGCCAACTTCCACTTCAGCACTGCCCTATTGTCTTCTTCAGAGGTCCACCCTGTGTTTCATTCATCTCTGCATGGAAGGGCATCAGACTGAAACGTTCTAGCCAGCAAGTTGAGTAAGACATCAACAATGACAACAACAGCATCACAATGGGGTGTTGTAAATATGAACCTCTGGAATGGACTTTTTTGATCCCAAAGAGTGATGTTATTGGCCAGGAAAGGTTATGGTTAGAAGAGGCTGAAAGGAAGGAGGGATAATGTGTGGTTAATGATGGATAGACTGCAGATGACCCTGTTCATTTATTTTTTTGTCTAGTTTTGTCGTGAGTCTGGAGGTTCTTTCAGAAAACCACAGAAATGTCACGGTGAGCTAAAGTAAGTGGTTAAATAAAGTGGGATTGAAATTTAGCTTTGTGCCATGGAGAGGCTCGGAAAGTCAGGACTATTTGTATTTAATCTTAAATTTGGTTTAGAATACTATTTTTTTTTTCATAATAGATAGCCAGATTGTTTTGACTAGAACTGAATTTAGCAATGTCAAGGTCTGGATTTTCAGAATAGACAACTATTGTTTATGTATGGTATCTGTAACTTCTGTTTTACCCAAGAGTTGAAGACTTTATACATAACATTCTCCCTTTGTTTTGTTCATCAAAAACCCCCAGATCTTTTTCAGGGAGGTGGAACTTTAAAATTAGGACATAGGATCTCAAACCAAGACCCGTGTTGTACTCTTACAGATACTCCTAGACTGACAACAGTTCTTTTAGTGACTGTTCAAAGTTACAATGGCACTGAAAAATGTGACTTATGACCCTTTTTCACAATTATGACTTTTGCAGCATCCGATCAAAATTCACACTCTTGGCAAGTGGTTCATATTCACAGGGCCTGGTGGCTCAGCAGACTAAAAGCATTGTGATTAACGCCAGCTGTCTGCAATTACTGTAAGTTCGAATCTCACCAGGCTCAAGGTTGACTCAGCCTTCCATCCTTTCTAAGGTAGGTGAAATGAGGACCCAGATTGTGGGGGCAATAAGCTGACTTTGTATAAATATACAAAAGTATGAAGGCTATTGCTTAACACATTGTAAGCTGCCCTGAGTCTCCGGAGAAGGGCGGCATATAAATCAAATTAAAAAAAAAAGATGGTTGCAGTGCCCCAGGGTCATATGATCCATTTTTGTGACCTTCTGACAAGCAAAGTCAATGGGGAAGCCAGATTCACTTAACAGTTGTGTTACTAACTTAACAACTACAGTGATTCCTGTGGCAAGAAAAGTCATAAAATGGGCAAAACTTATCAAATGTCTCACTTAGCAACAGAAATGTTGGGCTCAATTGTGGTTATAATCTGAGGACTTCCTGTATATTACAACAACTACTTCAGTGCAGTCAACTGTATTATTATGATTTGTAGAAATGAAAACTTCACTGACCTGGATCTGAATTTGGCACATATCACTCAACTATACAGAAGCCTTGCTCGTAAAAAAAACAGACAGAGTTGCATCAGAGAGCAAGAATGCAGACATTAGAATAATACAATAATAATATTCCTGTCCTTAAGGAATTTGCTTTGATGTACAGCAGCCACCCAAGTATGCTAAGATGGTTTCAAAAGATAACACATTTTCTTTTGGGTATATAGGTTCAAGAACAAAACAAAATTTTGAGACGTTTGCATCTGTCTTCTCCTTTGAAGAGCCTTAATTGTTCTTAGCTTGATTGTTGTGCATGAATTATTTGACATCAGGAGCGTCCTAACCTTCTTGGACCCTCCTGCAGATGGTCCTGGTGGTTGAGCTGTGCAGTTGGGGACATTCAGCTTGACTTAAGACCACAACTGAGGCCAAAATTTCCATGGCTAAGCGAGACAGTTGTTCAGTGAATTTTGCCCCATTTTGTGACCTTTCTTGCCAGAGATGTTAAGTGAATTACTGCAGTTGTTAAATTAGTAACACAGTTGTTAAGTGACATTGACTTTGCTTGTCAGAAGGTCACAAAAGATGATCACATGATCCCGGGACACTGCAATGTGAGCCAGTTGCCAAGCATACGAATTTTGATTGTGTGACCATGGGGATGCTGCAACTGTCATAAGTGTGAAAAATGGTCATGTCACTTTTTTCAGTGCTGTTGTAACTTCAAATGGTCATTGAACAAACTGCTGGAAGTTGAGAACTACCTGTACTTAAATAATTTGGGGTTGGGCATGCATGAAGAATCCTGAATTCAAGTGATAGGGGTTTCTACTCCCAAAATGGATACTACAGGTAGTTCTCAATTTACGACCACAATTGGGGCCAGAATTTCTGCAGCAAAGTATGGTGGCTGTTAAGTGAGACATGCCCAATTTTATTACTTTTTTTGTGTGTGCTATGATTGTTAACAGAATCACTGCAGTTGCTAAATGAATCATGCAGTCCTTAAATGAATCCAGATTCCTCCTTTCTTGGAAGCCATCTGGGAAGGGTGTAAATGGTGATCACATGACCGCAGGATGGTGTGACTATGATAAATCCATGCTGGTTACCAAGCTCCTGAATTCTGATCATGTGACCATGGAGATGCTACAATGGTTGTAAGTGTGAGGACTGGTCATGAGTCACTTTTTTCAGTGCTGTTGTAGCTTCAAGTGGTCACTAACTGAAGGGTTATAGGTCAAGGACTACCTGCATGGGAGCCTTGTTGCATCACAAAATGGTGACCGTGATGGTCATGGCCAAACCCTACCTTACCAATGCTCTGTTTTTATTTCAGATCCTACCCATCATCTATGAACTCAGTGGGACTGTAGGCATCGCCATTAATCAAGGGCGGGCATCTTTGGGGAATCTTTTTGTTTGTTTGTTTGTTTGTTTGTTTATTAGATTTGTATACCGCCCTACTCCCGAAGGACTCAGGGCGGTGAACAGCCATGAAATAAAACATATCAATACAAAATTTAAAATAGAAATAAAACAAGTTAGATAAATTTGGCTGAACCATATTTAAAACCCCAATAATTTAAAACCAAATTTAAAATTCCCATTTAAAAGAGGAGAAGTTTAGGTCAGGCCGGCTTGCTGGAATAGGAACGTCTTCAGCGTGCGACGGAAGGTACGCAGATCCGGAATCCTCCGTATCTCGGGGGGGAGCTCGTTCCAGATAGCAGGTGCCCCCACAGAGAAGGCTCTCCCCCTGGGGGCCGCCAGTCGACATTGTTTGGCCGACGGCACCCGGAGGAGCCCCTCTCTATGGGAGCGTACTGGCCGGTGGGAGGCTATTGGTGGTAGCAGGCGGTCCCGTAGATAACCAGGTCCTGAGCCGTGGAGCGCTCTAAAGGTGATGACCAAAACCTTGAAGCGCACTCGGAAGACCACCGGGAGCCAGTGCAGCTCGCGCAGGAGAGGCGTTACATGGGAGCGCCACGTCGCTCCCATCACCACCCGCGCGGCCGCACTCTGCGCCAGTTGGAGCCTCCGAGTGCTCCTCAAGCATCTAACACACAAAGCATCCTCTTTGCAAAGAGTTGGGGAAAAAGGACTATAATGTTGATGCAGTGCATTTTGTCTCTGACTTGAAGTGTCTTTGGAAATATTTTTTACAATGGAGGGGTATCTATTTTAGAGCTTATAATGCTGTTTGGGTGGGTTTCCCATCTCAGCATGGAACGCCATCCATTTTCAGCAATTGCACTCAGGGGGTTGCAACAGAAAATCTGTTCTGTGTTGGTTGGACTTCTCTTTGGACATTAATGTGATGTTGGATCCCAATCTTGGCAACTTTAAGATGTCTGGACTTCAACTCCCAGAATTCTGGGAATTGAAGTTCAGACTTCTTAAAGTAGCCAAGGTTGAGAAACACTGTGTTAGATGCTGGTTCTTTGCTTGGCAATGCGCCCGCCTTGTCTTAACTTTCCTTTCCTAGTAGATTTTTGGGAGAAATGCCAGATAAAGCAGGAAATTTCTTGGATACCCAGTGAGGAATTTGGGGCATGTTGATGGCCGCTGGCACCAGGCTGCCTCCTGTGCAATCTCCCCCACTCTGGATTGCATGTGTGAATTCCCCCAAGCGCCTTGCTTGTTTAATCTTGCAGCAAATGGCTCATTTTGTTTGGATCTCTGGATGGTTTTGTTCTGTGTTGTTGTGAAAACAATGGAGGGAAGCCACCTGTGTGGGGTTAGGAATCAAGGAGAAAGGAAAACAGACTCTGGGTGGTTGGTTTTTAGTTGTTGGACCGATTGGTGTCCTAAATGGAGACAAAATGGAAGAGAGGCTGAAGAATGAAGGTATCATGAGGATTCTTGTATCTATGGGATAAAATGTTGTCATCATTATTTTAAAGTTAAGGACACTAGCATGGTTGGCCTAAGAGAATCTTCCCATCTGGAGTCCTCTAGATAGAACTTGGAATGGATGCTCCTAGAATCAGAATAATAAGAGTTGGAAGCCCTTCTAGTCCGACCCCCTGCTCAAGGAGGAAACCCTACACCTGTGATGGCAAACCTATGGCACGGATGCCACAGGTGGCACGTGGAGCCATATCGGTAGGCATGCGAGTGGTGCGCTGATTTTCGGGCCTTCTGGGCTCACCAGTCAGCAAATGGGCCATTTCCAGCCTCGAGTGCCTCCGGGAGGGTGTGGAAGGCCGTTTTCGCCCTCCCCAGGTTCCTAGAAAGGCTCTGGAGCCTGGGGAAGAGTGAAAAATGGGTCTACCAGGCCTACTGTATCATTATGTGCCAAAAGTGGGGGTAACATGCGGGTATCACCCGCACATGCGTGGGGGGCGGGGCGCATATAATTATGGATGTGGGCACGCGCATGTGTGACCCCCGCTGCACTCCACCCGCTTTTGGCAAAAAGGTTAGCCATCACTGCCCTACACCACTTTAGATAAGTGGCTGCCCAGTCTCCTTAAAAGCCTCCAGTGATGGAGCACCTTCAGCTTCTGGAGGCAAGTCGTTCCACTGGTTAATTGTTCTCACTCTTGGGAAAACACATCTCAAAAATATTATATTTCAAAGGAATTCTATATTAATTAATTAAATTAATGCTATGTCTTACCAACATGGGAACAATTTTGTTTCTGAAAATGACTTTTTGGTTTTAATTTCCTCCCAAGAAATTTTTCACCCCAACATTTGGAGAAATTGGAAATTCTCCATTGTAGAGCAAAACTGGAAGCGATGCTTGTCCAGCTGAGCCCTCCAGACGGAAACATCAAAGTCTGATGCTTTGCTTGTGTATATGTTAATTTTTGTTGAACTGTGACTCACCTATTTTCAGAGCTCTCATGTTATACAATATTACATCACATGCTGACACAGTAGGATTCTTCATGTGTAAATTACAAGTGATAATTTAAATTAGCACCAACCCAGCATTCTTAG